TACCTCCCCCTCGCCGCCGCCGGCAGAGGCCATCGGCGTCGCCCGGATGGCGCCGGCGCCGGCGGACGTCCCTTCCCCGCTCCCTAGGAGGTGGAGTCGGGGCTCCCTCCTCCCAGCGGTGGTGCTGCTCGGCAGGCGGCGGTGTGGCTCGGCGGCGGGGTCCGCGGGCCTCGGGCGCCCTTGATGCAACGGCGTGGCCGTTGGCTGCGGGGCTGCGTGGTGTGCTGCTAGCCGGCGGCGCCCGCTCGGCCCAGATCTGGGCCCCTTTCGGGCCCATCTGGACTAGGGCGGGCCGGCGGTTCGGGGCTTGGCGGCGCGGCTCCCTGGTGGTGGTGGCGAGACGGCTGTGGTGCAGGTGGCGATGGCTCCGGCGGTCGGCGTGCTGCAGCGTGGCTGCAGGGATTGTCCGGATCCGTTGGGGTTTGGACGGGCGTGTGGAGGCCTTGTAAGTCCATGTCGCACGTCCGGTCGGATCCGCGGCGCGGTGGAGGCTGTCCCCTCCTGCCGGCTGTGTTGTGGTTGCCCCCGAGCCCGGTGTGCCCTCGTCCTCCCTCCAGGCCTCGTGTTGGTGGCCTCAGTGAGACGGTGAAGTTGGTGTGGTATGTGTGGTGGCATAGGCTTGTGGGCGGCATGTTGGGCAGTGCACTCTCGCTTGTCTGTGTTGGTGTTGGTTTCGGGGCGAGAGAAATCCCCGGTGGCTCGTCCGCCACCGGCCTGGCTGCACCCGTGGTCGTTGTTGGACCTTCTTGAGGGGCGTCGGTGATACCCCTTCCCATCTACCAACCGCGTATCGGGGAAACCCTAGGACTGATCCGGGCAGCAGTGGCGTCGTCGTCGCATCCCTTCCTGAAGGTGTTGCTTGGTACGCGAGACTTCAGAGTGCTAGGCGTGTGGTGGTACTTCTCCGGAGGGTGCGGCGGATATCGTCCATCTTCGCTTAGTTGAGCTGCCGGTGTCGGCATTTATTTCTCTTTCTTTCCCTCTTTTTTCTTTTGGGCTTGCTTGTGCTGCGGGCCCAGCGAGCTGGTTGTATCGGTTGGTTGTTGCTTTATAATATAAAGCGGGGGCAAACCTTTTTTTGTAAACAATCATTCCACCAAAAATAGTAAAATATAAAAAAACCATGTTTTTGGTAAAGTTATGGTTGTTCATTCAAGTACACTAGTATATTGATTTCATGAACTATGTATTTGTATGATATGATTCACAGTACATACCTGAGAAACTATTGGCTAGATAACTTCAAGTTTTGTACAAATGTCAACATTGACCATAATTTCAAGGGATTCACATGCTTAACAAGCCCTATATTGGACGTGAATGTTAAATATGCACATAAAGCTTTTGGTTTCAGGCCATAGTAGCAAATTTTAGAAGTTTGGGTTAACAGCAGAAAAAGAAGATCAAAGTTCACCGTAAGAAAAAAATACTATCAAATACTACCACACCCTGCAAAATCCATATTTAACTGAGAACAACACAAGATCAACTTCGACATGCTTCAGTAATCAAACCACACAAAAAAAAATGTGTTCTCTTAGGAAAAAATCGGAAAGGAAATGGAGGTTGGTTCAGAAAACGTAAGATATAGGTAGCATAACTGAGTCCAAACTGAATCTTAAAGTTCATGAACAAAGGAACTACGAAGTTGGTACTCGACCCTTCTTGATGCATTGCACACAAGGCTCAGAAAGTGCTTGATTTCCATTGTTCGATCTTGAACCTTTCATTCATTAGCATGTCCTCCTGAAAATAATCATCAAGATTTATAGTCAAAAGTGATTCGAACAATTACTGTAACATGCCAAATAATGTGGTTACAACAAAATATACAACTAATTTTAGACGACAAAAATTGCTGGAAATTTGGACCATGAGGACAGTTGTAAGAGGTCGAGATATTGACAATAATGTCTATTTGAAAAAGATAAATAGTTAGAACTGAATCTTAATTTGCAAAATCTAAGCAACTACAATCTTGTTGATGACCGTTGTTATATCACACATGAGGTAGTGTTCATGTGAACTTTTCATCGTTTCATAAATCAGCCAGTTGAATATATAAGTATGTCAACAAACGCTAGCTAGACCTAGGAACAACATCGACTTTGTGAGTAGAAAAATACAATTAGTTCACAAATCCAGTGGACCAATTTCAAGTACCATTGAAAATCGCATACCGATATATCATATGCACTGAGTATGATATATCTACCTTTTTTTCAATACCCGTCATAATGAACGTGAGTACATGACATACTGGAGTTAAATAATCTATAAACCCTATCTAGAGGTTGCAAAATCATAATGACCATAGACCTGTCCGGCAAATATATATGGCATCCTAATTCTTTCCTCACTTCACTTCTACCATTGATGGACTACCGGTCTATGCAGCAAGTATGACATCTAATATTTTTTCGCCCACGTTAACAATAATGAAACAAACGCATGCATCATGATTAGCAGAATAGCTTAACTAGTTACAACGAAAACATACATGGAATAGTAAGACGGACAGTCTGATTTCTGGAATCTAATAGCCCCACAGATCAAGATACAACAGGAAACAACATCAAATAATGAACAAGACAGAGATGTACGTACCTTGTCTCCATAGATTTGGTTTCGGCTGAATCCAGCAAAGAGCCTCCGAAAAACCTTGGACCTTTTTCTTATAAGTTAACAACTCCGGCCTACCATTGGCTATGTTGTATATCTCCAACTTATGATCTGGATCCTCTTGACGGCCATCCAGATGCTCGGAGAAGTATACATAATTCATCGTGAGCCCCGCAATGCTTGCTCCACCATGACCTGACATGAAGATATTTGACACAAACAGTGTCTGATGGCCAATATCCATCACCCTAGACCACATCCGTTTCCCGGCGAAGACATCGCACTTGTAGACCCGGGTGTGGCGGGTGTTATTCTCAAGCACAGTGCCAACGAGGTGAAGCTTGCCGTCCACTTGCAGGTAGCTGCGGGGGCAGATCCATTCCGGCGAAATGAAGCATCTCCACAGCGCCACCACACTCGGAGTAGCACCGGCGAGGTAGCAGATGGAGATCCCGAGGGATTCACCGATCGCCAGGAACATGCTGCCGTGGCAGTGCACGACCGACCGGATGCGGCACGTCAGGTCGGCGTGGAGAAACGTCCACGATCTGTCCACCCCGACGCGACAGAAGGCGACGCTGAAAGATGAAGGGAGCTGCGCCATGGCCACGCAGCCCGGAGAGTCGGGCTGCGAGGACAGCACGATGTTGCGGAACAGCAGCTCCCTCGTCTCGCTTAGCGTAATGGCACGCACCTCGTTGTAGTTTGGAGAGGAATGCACGACCCACCGGCCGTCAACGTCCATGGACAGTTTCCTAAAGCAGACCGCCCCAAGTTTGTTGTCGGCCGGCGGGAGCGCGACGGTGGCGCCGGTGAAGGGGTTGAGGAGCGTGACGGAGGCTGCCTCGTCCACCAGCGCCAGCCACCATCGAGACGAGCCGCACACAACCTTCCCTTGCAGATCCGGGAGGCTGGCCGTGAGGATCTTGCCGTCGGACGGCCTGTAGAAGGTGGCGCTGCCGTCCTGGGACTCCGGCAGCATCAGAAGGGGAGCGAAGCCCCTGAGCGGCACCGCGTCGCGCCAGAGCCTGCCCGTGAGCCGGAAGCTGGCGACGTCTTGGCCGGACGGGAGCCTCTGGGCGATGCACCGCAAGAGATCGGATGGCAGTTCGGTGATGCGGCCCTGCTGCAGCCTCGCCTGCAGTCTCGGGCTTCTCCGAAGAGTGGAGGGCGCCGCCATGGTGTCGAGCGAAAAGGGATCACGCCGGCTTGGCTGGTTGGAGGGATGTCGAGAGAGAGAGAGAGAGACGGATGTCGAGAGCGGGGGATGGTCTGTGTAGGTCTGAGGAGATCCACCCGAGGTGCCAGCCAAGGTTAGAAATACTGGCAGCAGCAGGCCAGGCCGGAAAGTTTTGGAATTCATTGAATGCGCATTGAATACGGCGGGACAGGATCGAAAATATATTTTAGAGCAGGTGCGCCCCGGCCCGCTTATCTTGTGCGTACATACACCTCGCGATATGTGCCAGCCGCTACCGTAAGATCGCCAGGCCACGGTTATATCGATCGGGTTAGTTGGTCCTTCATCCGTGATCGGCGTACTCCATAGCGTAGGGTACTGTTTCAGCCAGAAACGAGACAAACAGCATGGGACACGGCCCGTGACTCTGGTCAATATGCGACACCGGGGCAGGGAGCGAAAATAGCAGCAGCCTAGCCCGCGGGGGAGGGGGCAGAGGCAGAGCGGGCACTACCAGAATAACTGGCGATGCTGACGGCCGAACCTATGCCGACGGCCCCCGTCGGCATAGATAGGCCTATCACGAAGGCCCAGCCCAGGCCGTCGGCATATAAAAGCCGTCGGCGTATATCAATCTATGCCGACGGCCCCCGTCGGCAAAGCTTAGCCGTCGGCGTCGGTAGAAATATGCCTACGGTGGCCGACGGCATACAGGAGGCCGTCGGCATAGCACGTGGGCCCGGCTATCCGAACAGAGATGGCCTTTTGACGGCGTCAATCTACGCCGACGGGCTAACAGCGGCCGTCGGCATAGACTCCACGTCATCGATCCGCGTCGCTCGCCTGTCCATGGGGTGGCAAATCTATGCCGACGGTCTGGCCGTCGGCATAGGTCTGGCCCATGGATGTTGTCGCGTCATCGATCCGCGCCCTTGGGCACGTCATCGATCCGTGGCCGTGTGCGCAGGTATGCCGACGGCCATATCTCTATTTTTTTCTTATTTTTTCTTTTTTTTATTTACTTTCCCTGTTTTTTTCACAACATAAATGTGCCTTATCTAACAAAAAAAAAACATACCCAGATGGTATATCGATTGCCCCCCTCATGGACGTTGCTGCCGCCGCTCCGTGCCCCACAGCGACGCCGGAGATGGAGGGCACACCCCGGAGCTACGTGTCGGGTGCCTGCGCTAGCCACCACGCTTCCACAATCGTAGGAGGGCCCAAAGCAACACCTAGCGGCATTGCTACCCCCAGGTACACCCTCCCGTCTAACCGGGCCCTCATACATGCGGGGCGGTGTGGTGCCATGTCTGAAGAGGCGGGACGGGGGCCGTGGGGGAAAGCAATACCACCGGAGCGTCACACCGGGCCCTCATACATGCGGGGTGGTGTGGTGCCATGTCCAAATTAGAGGCGGCACGCGTCTCCAGGGTGTGCCCCCTCACACGGACGGCGCCACCGCCGGGACCTGAAGGGGGGAAACGGACGCGTCGGGTCTACACGGAGGGGATCATACTGTGGGTTTGGCCCGTATCTTGCTCTAAAGTGTTCGTATGGGCTGACCTAACACGACCGGGTGGATAGTGCCACTGGTCAAAACCCGTCTGTGCAAAATCAAAGGGCTAGATCCCGTGGTCAAACGCTACAAGGTTAGGCGGGACGGGGGCCGTGGGGGGTAGCAATGCCACCCGAGCATTGCAC